CCAAAGAAGGGCAATGCCAAAGAATGTTCAAATTACCGCACCATTGCACTCATTTCACATGCTAGCAAAGTTATGCTCAAAATCCTACAAGCTAGGCTCCAGCAGTATGTGGACCAAGAACTACCAGAAGTACAGGCAGGATTTCAAAGAGAGAGAAGAACTAGAGATCAAATTGCCAACATACACTGGATCATGGAGAAAGCTAGAGAGGTCCAGAAAAACATCTACTTCTGCTTGATTGACTATGCTAAAGCCTTTGATGGTGTGGATCACAACAAATTGTGGCAAGTTCTTAGAGAGATGGGAGTCCCAGATCATCTTATTTGTCTCTTGAGAAACCAATATTTGTGAGAGGAGCGGGCTGGTGCCAGAGGTCAGACTAGATGGCCCGGGAGACCCCTTCTGACTTGCTCTGTTTTCTATGTTTCTATATGTGGGTCAAGAAGCAACAGTGAGAACTGTACACGGAACAACTGATTGGTTCAAAACTGGGAAAGGAGTTTGGCAAGGCTGTATACTGTCACCCTGCGTATTTAACTTATATGCAGAGCACATCATGAGAAATGTGGGGCTTGATGAATCACCACTTGGAATTAAGATTGCTGGGAAAAATATCAACAACCTAGGGTGTGCAGATGATACCACTCTCATGGCAGAAAGTGAAGAGGAACTAAAGAGCCTCTTGATGCAGGTGAAGGAGGAGAGTGCAAAAGTTGGCTTGAAACTCAACATTAAGAAAACTAAGATCATGGTATCCAGTTCAATCACTTCCTGGCAACTAGATGGGGAAGAAATGGAGGTAGTGACAGATTGTATTTTCCTGGGCTCCAAGATCTCTGCAGACAGGGACTGCAACCAAGAAATTAAAAGGTGCTTACTCCTGGGGAGGAAAGCTATGGCAATTCTAGACAGCATACTAAAAAGCAGAGACACCACCCTGCCAACAAAAGTGCATATAGTCAAGGTTATGGTTTTTCCAGTTGCAATGTATGGCTGTGAAAGCTGGACCATAAGGAAGACTGAGTGCCAAAGAATTGAGACCTTTGAATTGTGGTGCTGGAGGAGACTCCTGCGAGTCCCTTGGACTGCAAAGAGATCAAACCAGTCAATCCCAGAGGAGATCAACCCTGACTGCTCTTTAGAAGGCCAGATACTGAAGATGAAACTCAAATACTTTGGCCACCTAATGAGAAGAAAGGACTCCCCGGAGAAGACCCTAATGCTGGGAACAATTGACGGCAAAAGAAGAAGGGGATGGCAGAGAATGAGGTGGCAAGATGGAGTCACTGAAGCAGTTGGTGTGAGCTTAAGTGGACTCTGGGGGATGGTAGAGGACAGGAAGGCTTGTCCATGGGGTCACAATGGGTTGCACGCGATTTTGTGACTTGCAACAACAATTGATATTTGTCACTGATACTCCGAAAACAATCCAATTCTTGATTCTGATTATTTCATTCTCAGAAACAGCAATCTTGCATGATTTCATCGGAAGCATGAAATGCCCTTACCACGCCCCACCAGAGAGCATCAGCATAGCTGGAGAAACCCGTTTGTCCCTTCTCATCCACTGCATCTTTCTCAGCAAGGTAGACAAAATACGATGAGAAGATCAGGCCCAAGAATCCAATATAGAGGGTTGTGATTAGTTCCTAATGAAATAAAACTTAATTATTAATTGGAAGCTTACACTCTTGCACATAGTTTTGTTTCAGGAATATTTCAGACACAAATGTCTAGTATTTTTGGGAAACACAGAGTGATTGGTGTACAATAAACAAACTTTATCACAACAGGTGATTGTATATTAATACATTTGTGAAAATATGTATATCAAAGCAAAGTAAGGCAGGCAAGGCAATACCAAACTATTCTGACTTTGTTTTGCCCCGGGCATGCTTCACCTTTATGAATTGATATGGAACATTGATTAGATATATGCATAATAATTCTATTGTACATGCACCAGATGAATGCCATCTTTACAAGATACTCACTCTGTTTTGAAGCCATGTGTTTCCTCATAATATATAGTGCAATAATTGTGCCTTTCACATCAACAGGTAAAAGACGTACACAAAGGCCTAGCAAGGCACAATCTTATTGTCCCACAGTCACAAATGAATAAATACTAACATATTATAAGGCTTACACATTCTAGGACTTTCCATGTAATGCTAGAGGTCACATGTTGTTTGTTATATGTTAAATGGGCTGGCTGCCACTGCAGTGGAAACATTACCTGCATATTGGCACATGCTATATTGCTTGCAATCTTGGCTGCAGGTTCCATTTAAATAAGAAGAGATTTCTTGAGGCTCAGAAACACATTGGCTGCCCATAAAGCTGGTATAAGATTGATGAAACATAATATGATCACTTGACTCTAGTCAAAACCCTGGAAAGTTACAGTTTGAAACAACTGAAGAGTCATTTTTCTTCTTTGAAGAGAACCCAAAACAGAACATATTATGACAGAAAAGTGGAAAGTAACTAGCAAAAATCAATGTTGAGTTTTATAGAAATGGAAACCATTAATAGAAAATAAATTGTTTTGACAGAAAAGAAGAGCAGATTGGTACAAGATTGTCAAGTTGAATTTACATGAGGAAAGTATGCAGAAGGTTCATGTTGTTATTGGAAGCTTCCAATCAATGATGTCTACTGGGAGGTGGATTGACACTTATAGAAAATTCTAGGATTAGATTAGGATAACAGGCATAAATTAACTTAAACGTTCCTTGTGAAGAAATGAAAATAATTAAATTGCCTCTGGAGGGCACCAGAAACCTGTTATCTGCAACAACTATTCTGATGTTTAATAGTTCTGTTGTAATTATTATTGCAGTTTTATAAAAAAGAGACCAAACTGAAAAGTGATTCAGTTGAGAAACTGAGTGCACATCATCCTGTGCACATGTGTACACATGTGACCCACCATGCATTTTGTACAAGGTCTGCTATATGGTTAAGAACAACTGTAGCCAATATTGTGTGCTTTGGGAGGAAAAATATGCAAATTTAAGACCCTATTTCAAGTACAATTCACGCCAAACATTACATTCACAAGTTATTTTCTTCTTACTTACTGTTTTTCCATTATACTTGATGTCAGGATAAGAGTTTAACAGTGTCAAAAGTCATTGCTAAACTTAGAATCATACAATCATAGAATAGTGGAGTTGGCCAAGAAGGCCATCAAACCCAACCCCCTGGTGTTGCAGGTCACCACTGCACTCGCTTTTTCAATGTCTCTAGTGTGAGAGCACCCACAACCTCCCTAGGCAACTGGTTCCATACTTGCATTTCTCTGACGGTTAAGAAACTTTTCCTGAAATCTAGTCTGAATCTGGTTCATCATAACTTTAGCTGATTATTCTGTGTCCTACACTCTGGCATCACCAAGAAAAGATCTTATCTTTCTTCTTTATGACAACCTTTCAGGTATTTATAGAATGATAGCATGTCCCCCCATCAGTCTTCTCTTCCCAAGGCTGAACATGCCCAGTTCCTTCAGTCTCTCCTCATAGGACAGTGCTTCCAAACCCTGAATCATTTTAGTTGCCCTCATCTTGACCCTTTCTAGTTTTTCTGCATCTTTCTTAAACCTTGGTGCCCAGAAATTGACACAGTATTCTAGATGAGGTATGACTAATGAAGAGTTTAGGGTAATTGCTACTTCTCTCTCCCCTCAGGCAGCTGGAAGGCCAAGAAAGTGTCGAAAGGGAAAACATTCGGACAGAGCTGTAAGGAATGCAGATCAAAGCTAATTAACATCCCAGGACTAACTCTTTTGCTAAGTTATTTTTATTAACGAGCAATAAACTAACAAACAAACAAACAAGCATGATAGACTAAGGAAGGAATTACGTTAAGTGGACTGCATCTAAATTGTAATACTTGAGCTCCCCCTGCTGGCTAATTGTTAAATTGTAGCTGCTGATTCATTTATTGGTTGAAAGTGTAATTGCAATTGTGGACTGCAAATAAGATCATTAAATTCAAGAGCTCTCTCCTTTTAGTTGAAAATAATAGTTGTAGACTATTATTGTATAGTTGTGGACTATGTCCAAGCACAGTAAAAGTGCAGAAAACATGAGACCTCGATAGCTGAAGACTGTTTGGCAAAGACCCAGAGCAAAACAAGATCCTTCTCAGAAACCTCATCCATCAGATCTGCGACTGAAACGTGTTGAGATGAATGGGAATGGGAAAAAGAGAGCATCACTGGAAAAATCAATGACTCTATCAACCATCAACACAATTGGATAGTTCTAATACACTTCTACAAGAAATAAGAGAAATGAAGACAGGTGATGCCAGGTGTTAATGATGTGAAAGAAGAGATGAAGAAATTAGATGTTAAAATAGACAACATGTATGGAAGAATAAAAGAATTAGCTAAACAAAATCAAGAGAATCTCCAAATAATTATAGAAGTGAAAGCTCAGGTGAAAGAACAAGATAAAGAGCTAAAATAACAGATGACCAAGATAGACCAGGTCTCTAAAAGTGTGACTGAGATCCAAGATAGATCATGAAGATCTTAAAGGATATCCAGAGGATGGGAAAGAGAATGAAGATAAATTGATTCAATTAATATTGGATTGGGCCAAATCTATTCTTCTAGACGTTTCTTTTACAAGATATGATATCAACACACTACACAGAGTTGGCCCAAGAAGACCGGGAAGAAAAATACCGAGAGACATTGTGGTCAGATTTTGGTCATATGCAAAAAAAAGAACAAATGATGTGGAAATTATGGAATATGACACCAATTATGCTGAAAGGTCATCAGATTCAAGTCTTTCCTGATCTATGTAATGAGACTTTGCAATGGAGAAGAGATATGTCTCAAATCTGCCAATTATTACAAAAGAATTTCATAAAATATAGTTCGGGGTTCCCAATTGTTATGAAATTTGCATATAATGGGGAATATAGAGTGGACACAAAGGAGGAAGCACTGGAATTACTAAAGATGCTCGGAATTATCCTTGATGATGAATATGTAGCACAAATGCAAAAGTTATAGGACTTGTCTACATTTTCAAGAAGGAAGACAGAAAAGGAGAGAAGAGATAGGGAGTAGGAAAAGCTGGGCATAGCAGCAGGAGGTTCATCCTCTCCATAGAGGCAGAAAGAAGAGGAGATCCAGAAGAGGAGACTTAGAAGAAGGATGAAAAGATAAGAAGATTTATATGTAATAGATATAGAATATATTGTATAAGAGATTTTTGAGTACAGAATAAAAGGGTATAGATGATTGAGGAAGGGGTGTCTGGGGTCTATGCAGGGAAGGCTCCTCTTCCCCCACTTGGAAGCCTGAAGCAGCAGGGAGGAGAACATCTCATGAAGATAGGCAAGGGGGCTTCCATACACAGTTGTGGTGGGGAATATGGTGACCACAGATTAATTTTTTGTTTTGGATTATCCCAATCAGGTTTTATGACCAAGAAATTATTGGAGGTTTATTGTAATGGAGGGAAGAGAGCAAGAATAAGTAAAGCACTATGGTACGAATCACCAAAAAAAAAAAAAAAAAGGAGGGCTGGGTATTCCAGATGTTAAAAAGTATTGGGTTGCAAACCAATTAAAGATAGTTCCAGATATTATAGCCCAAAATAAAGAATTCATATGGAGTTATATCAAATTAAAGAATTAAGGGAAATAGGCAATCACTTAGAGACATATTGGTTTAAAAAGGATATTAAAAAGATTAATAAAAGAATTCAAAATCCCTTTTTAAAAAATATGATGGAAGTATGGGGAAAATGGAGACAACAGTTAATCTCAGGAACTTCTCCATAAACACCAGTGGTCGAAATGGAGAAATTCCCAAAAATAGAATTAAAGGACTGGATTAATTAATTAAAAATAATCATATATATAAATGGAAAGATTAGAAAAATAAGATAAAAATATAATACAATTAAGGAGTATATCACCAGAGGCTAAATTAAATTGGTTAAATTTAATTCAATTAGAAAAATGGATAAAGATGGATGATAAATTTAAAAAGGAAGAAAGACAATTAACAAAATTTGAAATGATTATAAAAGAATGTGAGACTGAGAAAGAATATACAAGTAAAGGAAGAATTGCTAAAATTTACAGGATATTAATGTAATGAGTCAGGGGATCAGATAAAAAGTTTAAAATCAATTTGGGAAATGGATGTAGGAGAAATAAAAGACAAGGACTGGAAGAATATTTGGAATAAAAGAGTATGTAAGAATATGTCGCTTAGAATTAAAGAACATGGATATAAATTGATATGGAGATGGTATTTAACACCAGTTGTTAAATCAAATTTATGACAAATACTCTAATATATGTTGAAAATGTAGTAAAGAGATTGAACTTAGAAACATATATGATAATATACAAAAGATCTGGATTATGGTATTTAAGGAAATTAGAGAAATTTTAGATAAAGACTTAGAAATGTCATCGAGAATTGTGTTATTACTGTTGATTGAAAAACAAGATATGAATGGAGCTAAGAAAGAATTGATTTTAAGTTTGATAATGGCAGTTAGGCTAGTGATAGTTAGGTATTGGAAACAGAACTGGGTTTAGCAAAGGCATGAATGGTGTAATGAAACATGAAATATGGTAATTAATGATAAACTGATGATATAACTAAACATTTAAAAAGGGTTAATGAAAGCAAATAAATATAATGAAATTTGGGAAGATTTTGTAAAAGCAGTACTGATAGAAGGCAAAGGTTGTAAACCCAATCAAGATTACATGAATTTCTGGATGGGATATGGATATAATTAAAGTATATTATATATTATTAATTGTTAAAATAAGTGAATTATGTGGAGGTAGTATTGGTCTCTGGTGTGGTGGGGGCACTTTATTATTAACTTTTTTAATTATTGTGTGTTATTGTATGTGTTATTATTATGGTTGTGATGTGTTGTATTAATAGTTTTTTTTCTTCTGTATTTAAAAAAAAAATAAAAAGGGGAAAAATAATGTTTTCAGACACAATACCTGACGATGTATGAATACTACAGATCCCAAGAGCCTCCAGGTGCCTCCCTGACGGTCTACATGAAGCATGCGAAGTATCTGAAGAAACCGGATTCCCCTTGAAACAAAAGTTTTAGGAAAAAATGTAGAGTGAAATTAGAAAACATTATTCATAGAAACACTATTTTTGCAGATTTCAGTATATCTATCTTAAACACTGCCATGGAAATTCTGTACACAGTGCCATCAGCCAAATAAATAGGATGGAAGCCAAAACCAACTTAGCAGTAATCTGTGGAGCATGGCTAGCCCTCTAATCTTGTCCTTAACAGAGCCCTTTAATTGAAATGTGGCATGAATTTAGTTCAGTTCTTGAGCAAATTTTGTTCTATTTTGCTCTTGAACTTGGCTCTGAACCTGAATGCCCTGGTTTTGGTGATAGCTAGGGGTGCATTTGTACAGCTGAGCTAGTGCATTAATTGCGCCCATTCTTAAAGATGCTTTTGCCTCTGAAGATACTTCAGAAACAGCTCTAGAATGCCACAGCTGAATACGTTACAGGAAGTACAGGACTCTTTTTTAAACATCAGCTTCACAAACTATTGATATGTATCTGGGCAGATTTCAAAGTGTTGCTTATGCCCTATAAAGCCCTATATGGCTTGTAACCTCAGATGAGTCTGCTAAGCTCTTCAGGCCTTCTAAAAAGGCCCTTCTTTTGCAAAGGCTATCTTCTGAGGCACATTTGGTGGTGAAAAGGGGGTTTTCAGCGGCTGTTCTTAGTCTGTGGACCATGCTCCCAAAGAAGACTAGATTCTCTTCCTCTCTGTTGTCCTTTCACTGGCAGGTAAAGACACCTGTATTCAAGAAGGCCTGTAGATTGTAAGTGGATCTGTTGAGTTTTGTGCTCTTTATTATTTTACTGTTTAGTTTTATAGTATTTTAATACAGTGATGTATTGATTTAATCAATTTTAATTGTGCTTGCAAACATCATAAGGACATATCTCCATTTTTTCATTTCCCAGCAAATCAAAACAAAAGGCTTTTCAGTGTTTTACTGAGTTGGGCTGCCCTTATAATAGGGAGTGAGCAATATAAAAGTCTTTAATAGGAAACATCTATCTAGTTATCAGTATCTCTAATTGTGAAGTTAGTTCTTCCCTATATGGTGAGTTGATTCTAAATGGAAATCTCCCTGTCTCTTCCCCTCAGAACAAAGCAGACTTTACTCTCAGAGGGGTTGGGCCAAATGCTGAGCACACTTGACACCAAATTTCTGGGATGATAAATTCACATCCCTCCCCTCTGATCCTCCCCTGTTCTACAGTTTCTCCAACTGAACCAGTGGTGGTTCTCCCCAATCACTTGCCTTATCTCACAGCTTGCTGGCCTTGGGATTGCAGCTAAGCATTACAATCTTCCTCTTCTAGGTTCAGGTTCGAAGTGTGAAATCTCTGCTTTGGATTGCTACATTTTTGGAAAAGTGGGCCCAATCCCTATATTAAAAGCCATTTTTTGGAAGGAACATGAGGGGGATAAATAAAGTGACATTTTTCTACAACTCCCAGATTACTTTCCTACAAGAGAGTAAAAAGATTAGTAAAATGTCACAGATCATGTTTTCTGATGTTTGAGTAACTTTGCTCTCTCTTCCTTGTGGCCCCTTAAATGTGGAACTTTGTTCTAACCACTCACTTCCTCATTGAAATTTCTCCACAAAACACACTTTTTCTGGAAAGGTTTTGAAACAACCCATTAATCTCAATAGTTTATTGTTACCAAGTCAGTTATGTGCAATTGAAATCAACAAATAACCTCCTGCAGCCCATTTATTCATGCCAACGTTTTCCCCTTCCTCTGTCATGCCAGTTTTTTTATTATAAGCCCCTTGAGGCAGAAATGCATCAAGAGTGTTCTTCATACAACACCAAAATATATAGTACATAGATCATACTCTAGAAATTATGATGACAATTCATACAAATATGACTTGTATTTCAATGCTAGTGAATAGTTTTGAAGAATTTAAGCCAATTCAGAGGTTTTACTAGGACATTTCTTAGCTTCCAACTGTGAGGGTAGCAAACATAAAATTGTATGAAATACCTTATTGCAGATGTAGCAAACACCTGTCCATTTGATCCCACACTCAGAACTATAATTGAAGCTATCACGACAATGAGATCTGTTGAAAAGCGGATAACTGAAGCTGTTAAAATATATGAACACCCTCTAAGAAAAAGGGGAAATCCTTTCAGAAGAGAAAAGTTTGATATTTCAACTTATTACAACTAAAAAACACCAAAGTATAAAATTGACTACTTTTTCAAAGAGATACAAGATATTGTAAAGACTTTAATGCACAGTCCTCCCCCTATCATTTCTGCTTATGGATTCGGCATGTTTTGAAGCACTTCAAAAACCTGTGAAGTCCATTTGACTAGAAACAACAGTCAAATAAATATATGCCTTCACTATGGTAGAAATGCTGCTATCATTATCATCATCATCACTACATTTATAGCCTGCCTTTTTGCTTCTTGTGAGGAACTCAAACAGCTTTCATAGCTCCATTTTACCCTTACAACAGCAACCCTGTGAGGTAGGTCAGGCTGAGAGTGACTAGCCAATGTCACCCAGTGAGCTCCATGGCCAAGTGAAGACTAGAATCCAGATCTTTCAGGTCCCCAGTGCAACAGTCTATCCACAACTGGCTCTTAGCATTATTATTTAGAAAATGCTTTGTGATACCACTTTTGACTCAAATATACTAACAAACATTAACTTCTAATTAGCATATGCGACAAATCAGGTTTGGGGGTGGGAATCCATCAGATTTCCTTAGTTCTGGATCCCCTAACTCCACCTAACACCAAGTATTTATGTGAGTAGCTGGCAGAAGTGAGTTCAAGTGAGTCCACAAGGCCAACTTGCACACCTGCCCACTCTGCAAGCTGAGTTTGGCTTTGAAACATGTGATCTGTGGGCATTGCATACTTTGCATAAAGAATCGTATGTACAATCATATATATGTACTTGGTGCAAAGAACTGCGTACTTTGTACAAAGAAGAAGCTGCTAGTGTTCCTGGGCATTCGTGGACTTGATCTCAGCTCAGCTCCCTTCCTGGCCAGGGTCAAGCTTGGGAAAGAAGTATGGCAAGAGAGCCAATCCATCTGGAGCTTCATATTCCTACTTCCAATCACTTTCAGAAATAAAACTAGGAAGTCAGTAATCTCTAGGGGCACATCTACTCTTCAGATTTAAATTAGTTTAATAGGCTTTCCCTCTTCCCAAGGAGCCTTGGGAAACACAGTTCAGTAAAGGTGGTGGGCTAGTGATATCCCATAAAGAATTCTCGTCACCTTTACCACCAAACTATAATGTTGGTTATCAAGTTTCTCCTGTATATATTAACTAGAATGAATTGAACAATAATTTGCATTACACAGTAAAAGAAAGCATCCTAGTCAGCAGGGTGTATGTGAGTTTAAGTTTTCATTGTATTATCTTAAGTGGAGGGGATGCTGTAGTTATTTCTGAGGTAACTGGAGAGCTGTTTCTGAATTGCGGTGGCTGAGACTGAGCCATGTAACTGAAGCTTTTCTCTCATCTGGGGAACAGTAAATTAATATATGCTGAGTGCTATTGAACTATCCACATGCTCTCTGATGGCTGCCAAATAAAAAGCATTCTTATTTATTTATTTAAAGTATTTATATGCTGTCCTGTTGCAAAAGCCTCTTATGACACTAGAAAGCAACCTAACTATTCAGATCAAAAGAGCTTCCAGAAATGGCTTTAATTCAGGTTGTATTGCTTATTTCCTTTCCTTAAATAAAAAACATCCATATTAGTTCCACTTCAGAGTAATGCCAAAAGCTGCAACTACTTCATTGGCACTATCTGGTTGCAGTTTACTCTGTTGTAGAAGAGCTTCCTAATATCCCTTATTGGTCACAGTGCAGCAAAAGTTTCTCAATTCCTGCTGATTTCAATGAATGTTAACAACAAGAGCAACAACAAACCTAGCATCAGTCACATTATTGTGATGCTGTGTCTTATTTATTTATGTTAACACCACCCTGAGACAATGTAAAGGGTGGGATCAAAAACCTTTTAAATAAATAAATAAATAAATAAATAATTTCTGACACCAGACAAAATGGAAAATGGTGTATATGAAAAGCCTTTGTTCTATAATAATTCCCCCTCACTCCCCTGTGCACTCTGCCTGTGCAGAAGGAGCTGTGCTCCAGAATCTTTAGAAAGTTGCATGAAGAAGAAAGAGTACTTTAATGCTTAGCCTACATATAGCATTTTAGTTAGTAAATATCTTCCCATCTCAGAAAGAAAACAACATTACTGAAGGTAGATCAGTATTCTTGTTCCTTTTGGAGTTGCCCTCATAAAAGTTATGTTTTATATGTTAAAATATGGAGAAACTCGTCTATCCTCTCCCTGTCCCCATCTGCAAGGATTTGCCTTCTCTGGGGGAAAAAGTTAAAACAGCCTCAAGCTATGCTAAGGATCACCTGCTCTCAGATAAGCTGATTGCCCAGCCAAGACAGAATTGAAACAATGTTGCAAGCCAGGCAGATACACTTCCTTTGCAATGGAAAATTACCTATCCAGCTCATGCTTTGTCTTGAGAAATGTATCTCTGATTGTAAAAACGAAAACATTGAAACCTGTTAGAATTCTGTAACTTCTGATAGTTTTATTTGTTTTCTGTTACTCAAGCCTTTGATGTGTCACAATGTTTTTCCTGAGGTCTGCAATGATTTTTTGATGTTTCTGTATTATGATTTTGCACTTCCCCATTACCCTCACCTTCTCACTCATTCAGAATCTCATCACTACCCTGAAACTGTGTACGTGACCCACACCTTATAAAAACTCTGCATATGCTCTGGAAAGCTTGTAGCCAGTTTGGTTTACTAGCTACCTGACAGCACTGTTGTTTTTTCTCTGTCAGAGAGGGGTTCCCAGGGTGTCCTGCCAATCAACTGCTGAAATTGAATGTAGTATCTTCCGTGTGAATCCAAACATACAATTTCTTGGTCCTGTGATTCCAACATTTCCTGATATTCCCATATTGTGGGAGGAGGGGTTAAGGACAGGGAACAGTGACTCTCCTGAGGCCACCTTGGAAATTCATGATCAAAAGGAGGCACAAATCATAAAGGGATTACTACTATGAATAACAGTAATACTATTAATAATAAGCTCTCAAGAAAACAAAAGTATCCAACAAAGTAGTAAATCTGAGTGTTCATATAGGAAGCATATTCCTTCCATTAAAATTACTCAAGAGCTCAATGCATAGATACATTTTAATATATTTTAAAACAGAGATCTATTTTATTATTTTATAATAAATATTTAAAATTTCTATTTTAGTCTCACCTATTATTGATATAGGCTTCCTAGCAAAACGTATTCTTCCCTTAATACCAACATATTTGCTCCTGCAACCAGCAGACCAGAGCCTCACCACATATTCAGCACCAAAGAACACAACCAAGACAATTTCCTGAAATGAAAAACAACATTTAAGGCTCATTAAGTGTATTAAATGTTTACAATTGTTTTTCTATAGATCATCCACCCTGAGAACATTTAAAACATGGCATAAAACTGTGATAAATATAATTAATAAAATAATTGGAATCCTTTTAATAGTGAAAGAAATTAGGAGGGTAGGTACTTGGAGGAGGGCTTTCTCTGCGGTGGCGCCCAATTTATGGAATGCGTTCCCCAGAGAGGTCCGCCTGGCGCCGTCGTTGTTTTTCAGCGCCAGGTGAAGACCTTTTTATTTAAGCGTCATTTTAATTGTTAACAATATTTGCTTATTTATCTGGCCAGGGCGACTTCTTTTATATTGTTATTTATTTTATATTGTGAATTTTATATTGTTATTTTTGTATTTTATTGTATTTTATTTTGTGTTGTGAGCCGCCCCGAGGCTTCAGCAAGGGGCGGCATAGAAATGTTTTAATAAATAAATAAATAAAAATGTAGCACCAAATGGATTTCTGCACTAATTTTCAGAACAAAGTGTCCAAAAGCCAGCTATTTTCTCTTTTTGCACCATTTCTGGGTTGACTAATGATGTCACCCTAACCAAATATTAACACTTTTGTCAATTTAAATATTCTAAAATCCTATCAGTATAAATGATCTCACTCACATGATATAGATCACATGAACATTGATTGTCCATGAGAAGGATCCACAGATCCCAAGCATACCATGATGTTTCCTCCAATTACATTAGTGCAACTTGATTATCCCCCTCTTTGATGCACACCCTAATTTGGGAGTGTCTCATGCCTGTTCTCCAGTGAAATGTCCTTATCATTTATGATCTGTTTTAGTTCCCTCACTACTGCCCTTCCAAATCCTAGTTTACTTCAAATTTCCTCAGCTGCATTCCCTATTTGAATAAACAACTGAACCAAGGTAGGCAAAATTTTTACAATTTCAGTTTCTTCATTCTTGACATTAATGTTCTAGAATTCTTCTCTAATCATGATTTTTTTGTTTTCTTAATGTCCTGTGTTTGTGTTTTTACTTTCATTGGGAGTAATTTCAGTTTGCTGCTGCTTTCTGCCAGTAATATGGTATCCTCCGCATATCTTAAATTATTGATTTATTTTCCACTAATTTTCACTCTTCCTTCCTCTGATTCTAATCCAGCTTTTCTTATATGTTTTGCATTCAGACTGAACAGACAAAGAAAGAAAATACATTCTTGTCTGATGCCTTTGTTTATAGAAAGTCACTCTGTTTCTCCATATTCTGTCCTAACAGTCACTTCTTACACGTACTGCCATCAGGACAATCAAGTGCTGAGGCACACCCATCTCTTTCAGGACCATCCCTAGCTTTTCATAATCCACACAGTCAAAAGTTTTGCTGGACTCTAAAGCACAGCAGATCCTGTTCTGATTTTTTTTTAGTATGTTACAGTTGTCAAGGTATATATGCAATGTGTTCTCAAGTGCCTCTTTGTTCCTTGAATCCAACTTAAACATCAGGCATTTCTTGCTCCATATACTGTAGATTTTTTTGTGGCAACACTGCACTCTTCTGCATCTTATTGCTTAGAGACTGGATTTTCCATATTTGTTGGCATATTCTTGTTGCGATTTGGACCAGTTCAGTATCTGCAGCTTGGAATACCTTATCTGCTCTTGGCTGCTTTGTTCCTACTTTCAGAGTAGCTTTCACTTCACTTTCTAATATTACAGTGTCTTTCTCCTAGAATAAAGTTTGAAAGAGTCTGTAATCCTTTCATCTCTTCTGTATATTTCTTTTGTATATTGTTTCCATCTGTCTTATTTTTTTCCTGGTCAGATAATATGTTCCCTTGTTGGCCTTTTAGCATTCCTTAGCTAGATTTGAATTGGCCATTGGATCTTCTGGAAGAGGTCTCTTCTTTTTCTTTTTGTGTTGTTCTCTTCTGTTTCTTTGCACTGGCCATTCTCTTTGTCTTTTCATGATAGTTGCTGAAAAGTTGCATTCAGAATTCTGACACTATTTCTGTTACCTTTTGCTTCTCTCCTGTCCTTGACAATTGTGTTTCCTCTGTCATCCCTCTAGGCATTCGTACTCTCTTTCTTTCCTCTACAGAAATTGTCCTTTTGCATTCTTCTAAGAATGTCTCTGGTTGTGAGTCCATAGTTCTTCTTACTTATGGTCAACTGAGTTCAGTAATGCTAATCTGCTTCTTATTGGGACTTTAAATTCTTAAGGAATGTTATGCTTCTGTTAGTGATCTTTTTTTCAGTTTTACTCTGATTTTTTATATTAAGAGTGCATGGTCACTGCCACAATCTGCTCCTGGTCTTGTGTGGCAGCAAGACTACAGACCCTTTATTTTTACTTCCAGTTATGCAGATGAATTGATTTGTATAATGGCCAGCTGGTGACGTCCATGTGTAAAGTTGCCTAATTGGAGCCTGAAGTATGTATTTCTAATAAACAGATGGATTGCTTCACAGAATTATATGAGATGATCTCTTTTTTGTTTCTGACTCTCAGACCAAATTTTCCTACAACATTTGATTCAGCTTTGTTTCCTAGTTTTGCATTCCAGTTACCTTTGATTATCAGCATATCTTGTTTGGATGTGTTTCCAATTTTCTCTTGGACATCTGAATGAAAGTTTCTGATTTCTTCTTCAGCTATTCTTTGACTCTAGGCTTGGATTGTGGTTATATTGGCAGATTTTCCAAGAATTCTGAAAGATATTCAGTTGAAATTTGTATGAACTGTCTGTGCTACATCTACAACTGTCTGTATTAGAGCCACTCAGCCATTCTGAGTTTGTCATTCTCAGAATAAAACACTGTGTTTACCTGACTGAACATTTTCCCATTTCAGTCCCCTTTACTTCACTCACACCAAATACTGCAATGTTTAACCATGCCATTTCCTGCTTTATGGTTTCCAGTTTGCTTTGGTGAATATTTGTCATGTTTCAGTTTCCAAGGGTATGGGTTGTGCAGCAGTGGAGTTTCCTTTCACTTCTGTGCATGCAGGCCACTAGACCTCTTTTCAGCTTTGGTCTAATTGCATATCACACCTTCACTTTTCCCAATAGCTGGCTGACTGCTTTCTGAACTGGGATGCACATCTTCTGGCACTATCCTTGTTTCATTTTGGACAGTTTCAACATAGGGTTTTCAAACTAAGAAGATTCAGAAATGGTTTACCATGGGCTCATTCTGCACAACATTAACCGGAGTTATCTTTAGCATCATTCTGTGAAAGATCCTCCAACAGTATCAGCATTAATTATCACCACTACCCTTCAGGAGTTTTTCCACCCACATTCTTATAAGCAAAATCTATCCTCTTTTGTTGATGGGACTGCTGAAGAGGGTAGATGCAGCTCAGTCTGGTATCTTCACTTGCATGGCCCTGCAGGAGACCAGACATAGAAACATAGAAACAGAACGAGTCAGAAGGGGCCTCCCCCCTTCTAGTCTAGGTCATCTAGTCTGACTCCCAGCTCCAGCCAGCTCCGATCACAACATGCCCACCATGTGCATGTCCAGTCTATCTTTGAACATCCTCACCGATGGGGCCTTAATGACCTCTCATGGAAGCCCATTCCATACTCTCGGGGTCCTCACTGTCAGGAAGTGCTTCCTGGTACCTAAATGGAACCTTTGTTCCCTGAGCATTGCTCCATTGGAGTGTGTTCTGCCTTCCTCTGCAGGGGAGAACAGGTCTCTACCCATCTCCACGTGACATCCCCTCACATACCTGTATGTGTCCAACATATCCCTTCTGTCCAACATATCCCTTCTGAGTCTCCTCTTCTCCATGCTGAAGAGATCCAGTTCCCTCAGTCTTTCCTCATACCCCATCCCCTGCAAACCAGCCACCAACCATGTGGCCCTACGCTGCACTGACTCTGACCTGGCTATATCCTTTCTGTAATGAAGGGCCCAAACCTGAACACAATACTCCAATTGTGGGTGCACCAGAGTCGTATAGAGGGTAGTAATACCTTTCTCAATCTAGAAGCCACACTTCTGGCTATGCAACCAAGGGTGGCACTTGCCCTCTTGATCACCGCATCATGTTTAGCCTGCAGTCAACCAGTACCCCGAGGTCCCTTTCACAAGTGCTGCTCTCCAGCCACTTGTACCCTAACCTGTACTTATGGCACCTATTCCTATGCCCCAAGTACAAGACCTTGCACTTATCCACATTGAACACCATCCTGTTGTCTCCTGCCCACTTCCATAGTCTGTCCAGATCCTTTTGGATCTGGAGCACCTGCTCCTCAGTTGTGGCCACTGCCCCAGTTTTAGTATCGTCTGCGAATTTGATCAGCAGACTGTTCACCCCTTCTTCCATGTCATTGATGAAAAGATTGTACAGGATCGGCCCCAGGACAGAGCGCTAGGGGACCCCGCTTGTCACTTACTGCCATCCTGATGATTCCCCACTAATGGTTACCCTGTTTTCAATCAGTGAACCATGCCCTAATCCATCAGACAGTGCTTGGTATATCCCAAAACTCCTCAGTTTCTCCACCAGGATATCATGGGGCACTTTGTCAAAAGTCTTGCTGAAATCCAAGTAAACCACATCCACTGCATCCCCTCCATCTAGCCATCTCAAAACCTTGTCAGAGAATTCCACAAGGTTTGTCTGGCAGGACCTGTTTTTGCAGAAGCTGTGTTGTGTGGCTGCCAGCCTCCCTTCCCTATCTAGCATCACTAGATCTCTCTCTATTATGAGCCTTTCCATTGTTTTTCCTACAATGGACGTAAGGCTAACTGGTCTACCCTTTTTGAAAATTGGCACCACTGATGCCACCCTCCAGTCCTCTGGAACTTCTCCTGTTCTCCATGAGGCCTCATAAATGGAGGCCAGTGGGCATGAGAGAACCCCTGCCAACTCTCTAAGTACTCTCGGGTGTAACCCCTCAGGGCCTGGAGACTTTGTAATGTCCAATGCCCTGAGGAGCCCCTCAACTTCAAGGGCAGTGATGCTAATCTGTGCCCCTAAGTCCCTGGCCTCATCTAATCTCCTATGTGGATATCCCCCGTCCTGCTTTGGGGAGAACACAGAGGCAAAATAGCCATTTAGCATCTGTGCCTGTTCCCTCGTATCAGTCACTGGATCTCCTTCCTTCTTATTTAGTGGTCCCACCACTTGTCTCCCCTTCCTCTTCCTATTTACATGCTGAAAGAAGCCCTTTTCATTGCTCTTGATATTCTTGGCAAGTCTCAGCTCGTAATCAGTCTTAGCCTTGCGAAGAATCCTTCTGCAACAGGCCTCCTCCTCCTGGTATACCCTTTTGTCTATTTGCCCCAGTACCCATTTCCTACAGAGGTTCCTCTTTCGTCTAATCCCTCTAACCACCTCCTTTTGCATCCATGGCAGCACTCTCCTCCACCTCCCGGTCTTACTGACTAGAGGTATCGTCAAGGCTTGCGCCTCCAAAACCTCCCTTTTGAGTGCCATCCATCCCTCCTCAACTTGCTTACCTTCCAGTAACCTATCCCAGGAGACTTCCCCCAGTCTGGCCTTCAGTTGGCCAAAGTTGGCCCTCTTGAAGTCCCAGCTTCTAGTGCTTGACCTGCTGCATGTCCCCAGTCCCCTGATCTCAAAGCAAAGGATGGAGTGATCACTCGCATCCAGAGCTCCCCCAAACTGTACTTCAACTATCAGCTCCTCCCTATTGGTCAAGACTAAGTCAAGGATGTTCCCCCCCCCCATCCCCTCTTGGACCCTCTGAGTGAAAAGTCCTCCCTCTATAGCTTCTAGGAAGTGACGTGACCTGGCTGTCACCGCTGAGTGAACCTCCCAACTAATATCCGGGAGACTGAAATCTCCCATAATTACTGTGTCTCTCCCCCGAGATATCCTTAGAATCTGGTCTGTCAGGCCATCATCCAGGGTCTCAAGTTGACCTGGAGGGCGATAACATACCCCCACTGTCAGGTCTCTTTCCCTGTCAAAACCCCTAAGTTTCACCCAGACTGCCTCTACCAAATCCCCATC